AGAGAGAGAGAGAGAGAGAGAGAGAGAGAGAGAGAGAGAGAGAGAGAGAGAGAGAGAGAGAGAGAGAGAGAGAGAGAGGGGCACGGGCGAGCGACAGGTCCGAGAAGGCTGCGGTGAACAGCGGTGTCAGGAAAGCACGGCCGCCGGCCAAGTCCAACCAGCAACAACATCCAGCCCACCGGCCCTTAGCCCAACCGGCCCACCGGGAAACCTCCCGGCTCTCCCGATTAGCCACGCCGGCACTGGACACAGTTTCCAATCTCCACAAAGTACTTCCTGTCCTCAAGGTAAGACCTAAACCAACTTAGGGCGGTGCCAGCGACGCCAACCCAGTCCTCTAGTCTCTGTAAGAGGATCTCATGGTCGACAGTGTCAAAGGCAGCACTCAGATCTAACAGGATTAGGATTGAGACTTTGCCTGCGTCAGTGTTCAGCCGGATAGCGTTTGTAACCTTAACGAGAGCAGTCTCAGTGCTGTGGTGGGGTCTAAAGCCGGACTGAAACATATCAAATGAGTTGTTGATTATAAGAAATCTATTTAGCTGTTGGTAGACAACTTTTTCAAGGACTTTCCCCATAAATGGCAGATTTGAGATGGGACAATAGTTGTTAAGTACCGTAGCATCCAGTCTGCTCTTTTTTGCAGGGGCCTGATGACTGCAGTTTTCAGGGCCTTTGGGAATATTCCAGAATTAAGGGACATGTTTACTATCTGTGTGAGTGAAGGTAACAGACTGCTCAGAACAGACTTCAGAAATCTAGTGGGTAGTACATCCAAGCTGCATGTGGAGGAGCTCAAACTGGAGATTATCTCTTGGACAGTTTTATCATTTACAGGAGCCTTTCTGGCTGTTGGATGGTTATCTGTGGATTGGAGACAATGGCGTTTTTGATGCCTTGAACCTTGTCATTGAAAAAGTGTGCAAACTCATTGCATTTACGTTTGGAAGTTAGCTCTAATGGCATCTGAACAGGGGGGTTTGTTAATCTATTAACTGTTGAAAACAGAACACGCAGATTGTTGCTGCAGCCTTCAATCATTTCAGAAAAATACCTTTCTCTCGTACTAAGTAGCACCCGGTTAAACTCGCACAACTTATCTTTGAAGATCTCGTAATCAACCTGGAAGTTGGACTTGCACCACTTCCGCTCGGCCCTCCGGCACTTTCTCTTTTGTGCCCTGACCGAGTCTGCTTTAGCCCACGGCGCCTTCTGCTTATTTTTCACTATTTTAACCTTCACAGGAGCGATGGTGTCCAGAACATTCAAAACACTAGAGGTGACAGAGTTAAACAGTTCATCTACAGTAGAATACGATGCAGGGTGTCCTGCAGAGCGTGTCATACAGAGGGTGTCATGAGGGTGTCATGCAGAGGGTGTCATGCAGAGGGTGTCATACAGAGGGTGTCATGCAGAGGGTGTCATACAGAGGGTGCCATGAGGGTGTCATGCAGAGGGTGTCATGCAGAGGGTGTCATACAGAGGGTGTCATACAGAGGGTGTCATGCAGAGGGTGTCATGCAGAGGGTGTCATACAGAGGGTGCCATGAGGGTGTCATGCAGAGGGTGTCATGCAGAGGGTGTCATACAGAGGGTGCCATGAGGGTGTCATACAGAGGGTGTCATGCAGAGGGTGTCATGCAGAGGGTGTCATACAGAGGGTGCCATGAGGGTGTCATGCAGAGGGTGTCATACAGAGGGTGTCATACAGAGGGTGTCATACAGAGGGTGTCATGCAGAGGGTGTCATGCAGAGGGTGTCATGCAGAGGGTGTCATGCAGAGGGTGTCATACAGAGGGTGTCATACAGAGGGTGTCATACAGAGGGTGCCATGAGGGTGTCATGCAGAGGGTGTCATGCAGAGGGTGTCATACAGAGGGTGTCATGCAGAGGGTGTCATGCAGAGGGTGTCATACAGAGGGTGCCATGAGGGTGTCATGCAGAGGGTGTCATTACAGAGGGTGCCATGAGGGTGTCATACAGAGGGTGTCATGCAGAGGGTGTCATGCAGAGGGTGTCATACAGAGGGTGCCATGAGGGTGTCATGCAGAGGGTGTCATACAGAGGGTGTCATACAGAGGGTGTCATACAGAGGGTGTCATACAGAGGGTGTCATGCAGAGGGTGTCATACAGAGGGTGTCATACAGAGGGTGTCATACAGAGGGTGTCATGCAGAGGGTGTCATGCAGAGGGTGTCATGCAGAGGGTGTCATGCAGAGGGTGTCATGCATTTTATATCAAAATGTTCAAGGACGGCCTTGGGATTTGTATTTTTTCAGAAAGGCGGTCTTCCTCATCTCAGCGGACTGGAGATGAGACCCAAAAACCAGACCAGACCCAGGAGACTGGAAAGGAGCTCAGATGACGTCTGCGGAGGCACTTCCTGTTTTTCTACACATTTCCATAAAACTGTGCGGTGGGAGATTGTGTTCGACAGCTCTGGGATTGATAGAGAAATATTGGAGCTCAAAGAGAATTAAATATTGTTGATTTTGAACTCTTGAATATCTTTACTGTATCAACTTCACGTCCTTTGACAAATGTACACACGCCTTTGTTTGCAACGTCCGTCCCCAGAAAGGGCTTCAAAGGCAATAGAAAATGTGATTGTAAACATTGTTGCTTTCACTTTTAATTTGAATCAACAAGATCAAAGATTACATTCACAATTATTTCCTGTGAGGCACTCGTTTGATCCGGACAAACCTGTTCAACCAAAACTAGCTAAATCTGCTTCTAACCGTCATGACCAAGATTTATCACGGCACATTAGATAAGAAAAGACATTTACAATACAAATTACAAATGTACGTATCTCAAAGCAAAGCACAAGTTTATTTGCCATTTGCAGTAAAACCCCATTGGAATACATGTGCAAAAGTCCCCAGTGAGCACCAGAGCAGTACATAAAAGAAACAAGCTAAAAAAGAACAAGAAACAATCATCACTGTGATACCCATAAACAAAAACAGCTTCAATGTGCAAGATCATCATTAAAGCCAACAATATCTTCTGTCAGAGGGAAGAAGCTGGAACATGGCTTTTCCAAGGGCGAGAAGATTCATCAATTATTGTCAGGGCTGGATTTAAGAGTCTTCGTAAAGAACCTCCAGAACAGGCAGCTCACAGCCCTCTTTCAGAGCAGCGCACCTCTCTCTGGTCTCTCTCTGCTCTCTCTGGTTTCTCTCTGGTTCCTCTCTGGTCTCTCTCTGGTCTCTCTCTGGTCTCTCTCTGGTCTCTCTCTGGTCTCTCCCTGTTCACTCTCTCTTGTCTCTCTCTGTAGTCTCTCTCTGGTCTCTCTCTGGTCTCTCTCTCTCTCTCTCTAGTCTCTCTCTAGTCTCTCTCTAGTCTCTCTCTAGTCTCTCTCTCTCTCTCTCTCTCTCTCTGGTCTCTCTCTCTGATCTCTCTTCAGATGCCATCTCAGGGTTTGTTACTATATTTTAGTCTCGGTCAGAATCAAACACAATTCATCATCGAACAGTTTTTTTTAGAATTCAAATCCTTCATGATTTAAATTGCTTTTACTTCATATTATAAAAAACGTCTATATCTTTTTTAAACACATAAAACTGGCACATTAGTATATTTAAATGTGTTACTATGGAAACGTGTTGTATGAGGCTTCTGATTGGATCGTGGCCCATCTGCTCGTCGGTGACTGAGCTTAATGTAAGTTAATAGGAGCCAAAGCGAGATGGAACAAAACTTCGACCATGAGCACTTCCCTGTTTGGCCTCATTGATCAAGTTTGTTTTGATGTGGCTCCAGAACCGCTCCCGGCCGTTAATCTCAAACTGGTCGGTTTCTTTTTCAAGTTAATCAGGAGGCATGTTGCGTAAAATATGTTTCCATGTGAGAGGGCTTTGTGTGAGAAATGCGCTACATAGATAAACACGCTCACTAACTTTCTCTTTGGCTATTTTTTGTCTGAAAAAGCGGATCCAAAGATGTGACAGAGCCCAAAAACTGTGAAAACTAGTGATGGAAATAATGGAGATTTTTTTGACGAACCAATGAGATGGATTTTATGATGTAGTTCCATGTTTTCCTGGTCTGAAAGTTGCGTACCCCAGCTTTAATGTCTTAGATATCACAGTAAGTTGCGTACCCCAGCTTTAAAGGACAACTCACCCTCAAATCCACTTTTTTTGCTGATAAACGATTTAAATGAGTGTCCAATAGTGTTGTCTACATATCCTGGTCATAGTTTTTTCACTTTGGTGCAAATTAGTTGAAAGTTAAACTTTCTGCCTAAAACCGTCTGTGAGGCGCCATCTGCTGGCGACCTGTATTACTACACTTGAATTTTGAATCTGGTGCCAACACTGGCACAGAAGTTGGACCTGACGTCAGCAGCCCCCCGCCCAGAGCAATGTAAACGGCCCAGTCTCGTTCACGCCCCCTTCAGTCCTCCAGGCTACGCCCATTTAGAGGAAGATTTGAACAGGAAATGTGAGTAACGTAAGCTCCGAGGAGCGGGGGTGAAAACCACTTTAATGTGTTAGATATCACAGTAAGTCCCTCTCTGGTCTCTCTCTGGTCTCTCTCTGGTCCCTCTCTGGTCTCTCTCTGGTCCCTCTCTGGTCTCTCTCTGGTCTCTCTCTGGTCTCTCTCTGGTCTCTCTCTGGTCTCTCTCTGGTCTCTCTCTGGTCTCTCTCTGGTCTCCCTCTGGTCTCCCTCTGGTTTCTCTCTGGTCTCTCTCTGGTCTCTCTCTGGTCTCTCTCTGGTCTCTCTCTGGTCTCTCTCTGGTCTCTCTCTGGTCTCTCTCTAGTCTCTCTCTAGTCTCTCTCTGGTCTCCCTCTGGTCTCCCTCTGGTCTCCCTCTGGTCTCCCTCTGGTCTCCCTCTGGTCTCCCTCTGGTCTCTCTCTGGTCTCTCTCTGGTCTCCCTCTGGTCTCTCTCTGGTCTCCCTCTGGTCTCCCTCTGGTCTCTCTCTGGTCTCCCTCTGGTCTCTCTCTGGTCTCCCTCTAGTCTCTCTCTTGTCTCTCCCTGGTCTCTCTCTTAGATATCACAGTACGTTGCGTAGGATGCGACGCCACACAGGTTTCCTCGATTGCGAGCGAGTCGAAAGTATCCTTGTTCTCCCCATCGACTGCTCCAGCTGAAACACAGAGGACACCAAACAATCACTCGGTTCAAGTTATTTATGTATCGCCACAAATCACGAGGACTTTACAAAGCTGTCGATTTGTCAGCAGCAGATCAGAGAATCAAACAGATCAAACAAAGGAAACGCAATGATAAAAAACACAGAGCCATAAGTGCCAAAAGAGACAAATGTCCATCAATGTAACTCATGTGACCTTTAGATGTTTGTTTTTATATGTTTTGAAGAGAAAGCCTGTCTGTCCATCTGTTTTCTTCTGCTTTGTCCCTTTCCTGTCTGCACGGGCAGCCGTCTAAGCAGAGACCGGAGAAAGAGAGAGAAACCAGAGAGGGAGACCAGAGAGAGAGACAATGACGAGAGAGAGACCAGAGAGAGAGAGAGAGACCAGAGAGGGAGACCAGAGAGACAGAGACAATGACGAGAGAGAGACCAGAGAAAGAGAGAGACCAGAGAGGGAGAACGGCCTGAAGGGACAAGAGAGAGACCAGAGAGAGATTGGATAGGGAGACCGGAGAAAGACCAGAGAGCAGGACAGCTCCCCAGAGAGGCATCCCAAACAGACGCTACCTCAACTGGTTCCTCTCAACATGGAGAAGCAGCGGCTCTACTCTGAGCTCCTTCATCTATCTCTAAAGCCTAGCGTACATCGGACTGGCAACTGATTATATCCGTCGCATATGAGTTGCTGCCCCGCACACATCGACAATCTGACGAAAACGTGCAACTCCCAGTAGCAGACCAGTCTCTGGAATAACAGCGCGTACATCGACAGCAACTGTCCGTCACCTACAGTGTGTTTTCTGACATAAACTGTTGCGGACACACACGTTGTCGGAGCGGCGCATGGTGCGCGCACATCGGGTCATATCTCCGAAACTGAGTACAACTAGTTGCCGAAAAGTAGAACACGGGCAACTGACTGAAACTGGAGACCGACTGTTTATTTCCAGTTGTAAGAGCGCTCACATCGACCGATTTCGGCAACTGATCATCTCCCACCATCTACTCTCAGTCGCCAAAAGCCACCTTGCGACTAGTTGTCTCCAGTTTCTCTGTCCATGTACGCTAGGCTTAAGGGAGCAGCCACTCTGTGGAGGACGCTCATGTGTCGCTTGTATCCGTAATCTCGTCCTTTCGGTCATTACCCAAACCTCAGAGCCAAGGGTGAGGAAGTAACAGAGACTGAGCAGTACATTTTGAGGTCCACAAAATGCAGATATTTGTTTCTGTTAAGTTTAAAATCATAAACTTCCAGCTCTTTCTTTGGAATCAGGTGAGAAACATCACCTCTGCAAATACAAAATAACTTTTATGTCGGCAAAAACGCAGCACTGCATTTCCATATTCCATGTTTGTTTTCGGAATCATGCGAGACGCAGCATCTGCGTCGGAGAGAACCTAGGTTGACCGGTACATTCAAGGCTCTGACTGCAGACGCTGCTCCCTCTTCACCACAACATCACTACACCGATCTGTCTGTCAATCACACAGTCTCACCTGTTCTTCACCAGCCAGTAGTCCTGACCAGACTCTGTACCGTAGCCGACGACCACAACGCCGTGGTTCATCTGGCCAGCGCAAGGACCTGAAAATATTCCTAAAAGGGAACAAGAAGAAAGATTAGATTAGAGATTCTTTATTCTGTTCGTCCCACAGTGGGGAAAGTTCAATGTTGCAGCGCACAGACAGGACAGTAGTGAGAGGACACAAAATAGACAAGATAACTTCTGTGGCCATTTATTATTTCATTCCTATGTGTGATTTTAAGATTTTCTTGTGATTTTATTCTGTTTTTAATATTTCTGGATGCTTTGTTTTTAATCGATATTTTTAATGTATATGTAGATTTTAATGTTTTATGATTTGCTGGAAGTGATGTGGGTTGCCTCGTGGGAAAGGCGCTATAGAATTACAGTTGATTGATTGATTGAGGTAGCTGCTATATTTCTTAGCTAGCTGTGAATGCTTCAGTATCAATATATCTCTATCTATCTTAATCTCTCTGCAGTGTGTATACGGTATAGTGCAAAGTTACATACGTACTGTACATAGGGCAGGATAATACGTAGATAAAGTGATATTCAGGGGACATTCTAAAAGGCAGTATTTACTATTTACAGATGAGACATGTACAGACTCTGCGGTTCTCATTGTACAGTCTGACAGCAGCAGAAAGGAAAGACCTGCCGAACCTCTCCTTCACACAGCATTCAGAATTACACTCACAGAGAAGCTACATCGCCCCAAAACAAACTTGCTTTCCTCCAAACCCCACTCACCCGAACTGTAGTAAATGAGAGGAGTGGCATAGATTCCGACAGAGATGGGTCCGATGGTCGCCACTGCCTTCTGCAGCTCGGTCTCTTCCCGAGGCACAAAGCTGAAAGCCGAGCAGTTGGCTGCGACGTACTGAGGGTTGTATCGGCAGACGTCGTTCTGAGAAAGAAGAAGAGTTAGTGCCTCAGTCCTTCAACGCCCCCAGGGAACAGGCCCAAGCCCCTCAAATCAGTTATGAATATTTCTCTTCACAGTGATGGCTGGTTAATATGAGCGACCGAGGCTTGTTGCACTGCATTTTAAAGCTATTTTTTCAAGAAAATAATCGTATAATGTATTTTCTGTTTAAACTCAACACGCAATCATAAGATCATTCACATTAGTAAATAAATCATTGGTCAAAACTTTTACCCAGTGTTGGTTCAGTCCAAACAAACAGAAACTGGACTGAACAAAAAACAATCTACCGGAAAATAATAAAATATCCAAACTTCCTTCACTCAGAAACCTACACACACAGGGAGAACATGCAAACTCATCTCAGAAAGGTCCTGTTCTGACGTTTATTTTAAATAAATGTTGTTTCAAAATAAAGTCTGTTTTTTTAAAATACGCTTCATAGGTTTTTCATCATGTTTTTGAGCCTTCGGTTTGTCACTGTTTCAGTAAACACAGCACAGAGCAGATGTGGGTCCCAGTAACGACCCTTGAGGGACCCCACAAGCAGTTTGGGCATTACAGCCGCAGCCGCCCCACTGTGGCACCCGCTGTTCCCAGAGGTCTCCCATCACAGCACTAACCAGGCCCTGCCCTGATCAGTGTTGTTCAGGCATTTTGGCACATTTCCGAACTGCTGCTAAGTCGACACTTTGATGTGATGACATAAAACCTCTGGGATTAGATTTACAAACAAGAGCGAGGGCAAACAAAGGGTGGGATGCTAACAGGGGTGGGATGCTAACAGGGGTGGGATGCTAACGGGGGTGGGGTGCTAACGGGGGTGGGATGCTAACGGGGGTGGGATGCTAACAGGGGTGGGATGCTAACAGGGGTGGGGTGCTTATGAGGGTGGTATGCTAACGGGGGTGGGATGCTAACGGGGGTGGCATGCCTATGTGGGTGGAATGCTAACAGGGGTGGGGTGCTTATGAGGGTGGTATGCTTATGAGGGTAGTGTGCTAACGAGGGAGGGATGCTAACAGGGGTGGCATGCTAACAGGGGTGGCATGCCTATGTGGGTGGAATGCTAACAGGGGTGGGGTGCTAACGGGGGTGGGATGCTTATGAGGGGGGGAGGCTAACAGGGGTGGCATGCTTATGTGGGTGGCATGCCTATGTGGGTGGGGTGCTAACGAGGGTGGCATGCTAGCGATGGTCTCACCATTCCTCTGTAAGGGTAGTTCGCCTCAGACTCCAGCCCCCTCCGAATGATGCACTGGAAGCCCTTGTGCATGAAGCCTCCTTGACAGCCAAAGTTCCCGTCGGTGCAACAGGACACCAGCTGCTGGGGGCTGAGGTCCACCAGTCTGCCTGTGGTCCTGAACAGATGCCCCTCCATGGCCCCCACCACGCTGAAGGCCCAGCACGAGCCGCATCTGCCCTGGAGACAAAGGATTTGGATTTATGACACGTGGCAAAATGAAAACTAAAAAGAAGCAGAATGAATTGTGTTTATTTCCGCTCAAAGCCGCTTGTACCTGGTCCTTGACGTTGGTGACAGCTCCGAGCTTCCTCCAGTCCACACTGAGCGGGAGTTTGGAGCTGTCTGTGTCGATGAACGAGGATGGAGGGCGCTCCAGGTCTTCAGGAATCCTCAGCGACGCGTACATCTGCAGCGCCTCCTCTGTCGACTGTGGACACCAGATCCAAGTGAAAAACATGTGCCGTATTTTCTATAAGCTAATACCAGGTCTCTCTCTCTGGCCTCTCTCTCTCTGATCTCTCGCTGGTGTGTCTTTCTGGTTTCTCTCTGGTCTCCCTGTCTCTCTGGCTCCTCTCTCTCTTTCTCTCTAGTGTCTCTTTCATGTTCTTTTCTTTCTCTGTCTCTCTCTCTGGTTTCTCTGGTCTCCCTGTCTCTCTCTGGTCTCTCTCTCTCTCGGGCCTCTCCTTTTCACTCTCTCTCGTGTCTCTCTCTCTCTGGTTTCTCGCTGGTCTCCATGTCTCTCTCGGGCCACTCTCTCTGCTCTCTCTCTCTGGCTTCTCTTTTTCACTCTCTCTCTCTGACCACTCACTCTGCTCACTCTCTCTCTGGCCTCTCTTTTTCACTCTCTCTCTCTCTCTGGTCTCTCGCTCTCTGGTCTTTCTCTTACCAGGTCTCCCATCTGGTTCATGGCCACAGTGTAGGAGTGGAGCCCCATGGACGCCTCCAGGTTGTGAGTGTTGATGAACCACAGGTTTTTCTCCCACAATGCTCTGCGGCTCTCCTCCTCCACCTTAAAAACACACATATGACATTTTCTTATATGAAGAAGATTCACAGCTCTCTGTGAAACTTCACAGCTCTCTCTCGGACCCTCACCCAGAGACCAAAACAGTAGATCAGAGTGAGACCTATCTATAGAGAAGACTGTTAATCTTTGGAGCAGAATGGACCATATGTATTTTAACTAAACTGAAATTGTATGTTATAATCACTAAGGCTAGCCTCAGTCCCTGGATCTACAGCCTCAGTCCTGGATCTACAGCCTCAGTCCTGGTCTACAGCCTCAGTCCTGGATCTACAGCCTCAGTCCTGGATCTACAGCCTTATGTCTATTGCCTTTGTTGTCCTGAAGAAGTGGGACTGCAGGGGGCGCTGTGGTCCTGCCTTTGGTGGTTGGAAGGAAAAATAATCAACTTGTCAAATCCTATCAGACGACTGAATGAACCAGTTTGATAGAGGGACATTCCAGAAGCTGCAGATTAAGAGATTGTGGAATAAAAACAAAAGACTGTGTTTGTTTTGCATTTCTTTGGTCATGTTCGGAAAGTTCAAGTCATGTTTTATTTGCTTAAATTTTTTTACGATTGATTAGATCTGAGCCTCTCCCTGTCTGTGTCTGTGAACCTTATCTTTGACAACACCATGGGGCTGATGCACTGAGAGCCTCTCTCTCTCTGGTTTCTCTCTTGTATCTCTCTAGTCTCTCTCTAGTCTCTCTCTGGTCTCCCTCTCTCGGATCTCTCTCTGGTCTCTCTCTGGTCTCTTTCCGGTCTCTCTCTGGCCTCTCTCTGGTCTCTCCCTGGTCTCTCTCTGGTCTCTCTCTCTCGGATCTCTCTCTGGTCTCTCTCTGGTCTCTTTCCGGTCTCTCTCTGGCCTCTCTCTGGCCTCTCTCTGGTCTCTCTCTGGCCTCTCTCTGGTCTCTCCCTGGTCTCTCTCTGGTCTCTCTCTCTGGTCTCTCTCTCTGGTGTCTCTCTCTGGTGTCTCTCCGGTCTCTCTCCGGTCTCTCTCCGGTCTCTCTCTCTGGTCTCTCTCTCTGGTCTCTCTCTCTGGTCTCTCTCTCCGGTCTCTCTCCGGTCTCTCTCCGGTCTCTCTCCGGTCTCTCTCCGGTCTCTCTCTGGTCTCTCTCTGGTCTCTCTCTCGTCTATCTCTGGTCTCTCTCTCCGGTCTCAGTCTGGTCTCTCTCTGGTCTCTCTCTGGTCCCTCTCTCTGATCTGTTGTGTTGATGTGTGCGTCCGTCCTTAGACCTTGTTGTGATAGTTTCTCTGGTATTTGTTCTTCCATAGTTTCCAGTGCTCGTCCAGGTCTGGGTTCCGATCCGCAAACGCCACGGCACAAAGCAGAGCCAACAACAGACCTGTGCAAACACAAGACAGACATGACCTCTCCATTCTCATATTCAATCAAAATAATCATTTTTGCCGACAGGACCAGGGCACAATGAGACTTTAACTTAAGTTCCTTCAGACAAAATTAGAAAAATCTGTAACACTTTAGATTAGCGTGATTATTTACGGAGAAAACATTTAAACTACAATGGTGTTTGGTAAATGTAGACTTTATTGATTCATAAGGGAAATTGCTTTGTCACAGTTGCTCCAAAAGATAAAAAATAAAAATATCATTAAAATTATAATCTGAAAATAAGAACAATAATTTGGTTTAATTGTTTCTCTGGTCTCTCTCTGGTCACTCTCTGGTCTCTCTCTGGTCTTTTTCTGGTCACTCTCTAGTCTCTCTCTGGTCTCTCTCTGGTCTTTTTCTGGTCACTCTCTAGTCTCTCTCTGGTCTCTCTCTGGTCTCTCTCTGGTCTCTCTCTGGTCTCTCTCTGGTCTCTCTCTGGTCTCTCTCTGGTCTCTCTCTGGTCTCTCTCTCTGGTCTCTCTCTCTGGTCTCTCTCTGGTCCCTCTCTGGTCCCTCTCTGGTCTCTCTCTCTGGTCTCTCTCTGGTCTCCCTCTGGTCTCTCTCTCTGGTCTCTCTCTCTATAGACCCTTTAGATAAGCATGATTTCTTACTGAGAAAACATTGAAAATCCAAAGAAAATGCATTTGGTAAACTTAGACTTAGACAGTTTTGATGGATTCAAAAGTGAAATTGCGTTGTCACATTATCTCCACACATTAAAAAACAAAAATAACATTAAAGTAAACATCTGAAAATAAGATTAATAAATGGTTAATTACACTTTGTTATACGGCGTGAGCAGTGTACGTGGACATTGAAGTGTGTGTGAATGTTATCTGTTGTGTCAAGATTATACTAAAAAATGCTTTCATCCAAATGTTCCCTATGAAGATCCAACCTTCAAGTCTGAACATTCCCAGACATTTGCATCCCTAGTCCTCAGTAGCTCGCCAAAGGATTTGAGTGTGTTCACAGTAAAGTGGCAATTGAAGTATCTGGACTTTAAAAGGTTATAACTTAAAAACTAACATTACTTTCATAGATTGGAAAAAAGATTTCAAACACAGACACATTGAAGAGATAGTGTGGAAAAAATCAAAAGGAAAGATTGACATAAAAATGTTTAGCAACATTTTAAACAACCAAATTAGCCTTTGATTGGACCATTCTACTGTGACGCCAGTTACATAGAAAATAAAATGTCCTCAGTCTGAAAAAGCAGAAGATGAAATCCCACAAGATTTACATGGTTAACACAACAGAAGGAAATCACTTGATATAAAAAGGAATCGTGAAAAAATAAAAATTAATTAATTAATTAAATGACCCCTAAAAAATGTATAACGGACGTGATGAGGACAGTCCTCTTTTCTCTAAAAATTAAACTTGGGAAAAAAAAAAATCTGGTCTGTTTTCACATTTAATTGGTTGACGATATGAAAGAATCACTTTGCATCTACTTTGTGTAAAAAAATAGAATCTCTGAATCAAATGTGGACATCTGAAAATACCTATCAAACTTCCACAAAGCTCATTCCGTCAAATCATCGTCCGTTACATAAAATAAACAGGGCCGCTGTAGGAAACTTGTCTAATGTATAAAACAGTTTGTTCTAGAAACTTCTAAAGAACAGAGGTGTTTGGAAACATGAAAAACATGAAATATCTTCTGATTATAAAAATCTAATTTTTGACCTTTTGTCACACTTTTGTGCCCTTTAGTGTGAACAAGCCCATTTAGAAATGAACAAATCAAAAAATACACTCAACATTTCAGATTGTTTTAAAGATTGTCATTATTTATAATTCTAAATGCACTTTTTCACAATAAATAAAGGAAAGGGAAAGTAGCTCTCTGCCTTTATCGTCCTGGGAAAGTAGCTCTCTGCATTTATCGTCTCAGGAAAGTAGCTCTCTGCCTTAATCGTCTCAGGAAAGTCGCTCTCTGCCTTTTTCGTCCTGGGAAAGTAGCTCTCTGCCTTTATCGTCCTGGGAAAGTAGCTCTCTGCCTTTATCGTCCTGGGAAAGTAGCTCTCTGCCTTTATCGTCCTGGAAAAGTAGCTCTCTGCCTTTATCGTCCTGGAAAAATAGCTCTCTTCCTTTATCGTCCTGGGAAAGTAGCTCTCTGCCTTTATCGTCCTGGGAAAGTAGCTCTCTGCCTTTATCGTCCTGGGAAAGTAGCTCTCTGCCTTTATCGTCCTGGGAAAGTAGCTCTCTTCCTTTATCGTCTCAGGAAAGTAGCTCTCTGCCTTTGTCGTCCTGGGAAAGTAGCTCTCTGCCTTTATCGCAATGGGGAAGTAGCTCTATGCCTTTATTGTCCTGGGAAAGTCGCTCTCTGCCTTTATCGTCCTGGGAAAGTAGCTCTCTGCCTTTATTGTCTCAGGAAAGTAGCTCTCTGCCTTTATCGTCCTGGGAAAGTAGCTCTCTGCCTTTATCGCAATGGGGAAGTAGCTCTATGCCTTTATCGTCCTGGGAAAGTCGCTCTCTCCCTTTATTGTCCTGGGAAAGTAGCTCTATGCCTTTATCGTCCTGGGAAAGTAGCTCTCTCCCTTTATCGTCCTGGGAAAGTCGCTCTCTGCCTTTATCGTCCTGGGAAAGTAGCTCTCTGCCTTTATCGTCCTGGGAAAGTAGCTCTCTGCCTTTATTGTCTCAGGAAAGTAGCTCTCTGCCTTTATCGCAATGGGGAAGTAGCTCTCTGCCTTTATCGCAATGGGGAAGTAGCTCTATGCCTTTATCGTCCTGGGAAAGTAGCTCTCTGCCTTTATTGTTCTGGGAAAGTCGCTCTCTGCATTTATTGTCCTGGGAAAGTAGTTCTCTGCCTTTATCGTCCTGGGAAAGTAGCTCTCTTCCTTTATCGTCCTGGGAAAGTAGCTCTCTTCCTTTATCGTCTCAGGGAAGTAGCTCTCTGCCTTTATCGTCCTGGGAAAGTAGCTCTCTGCCTTTATCGTCTCAGGAAAGTAGCTCTCTGCCTTTATCGTCCTGGGAAAGTAGCTCTCTGCCTTTATCGCAATGGGGAAGTAGCTCTATGCCTTTATCGTCCTGGGAAGGTCGCTCTCTCCCTTTATCGTCCTGGGAAAGTAGCTCTCTGCCTTTATCGTCCTGGGAAAGTAGCTCTTTGCCTTTATTGTCTCAGGAAAGTAGCTCTCTGCCTTTATCGCAATGGGGAAGTAGCTCTCTGCCTTTATCGCAATGGGGAAGTAGCTCTATGCCTTTATTGTCCTGGGAAAGTCGCTCTCTGCCTTTATCGCCCAGGGAAAGTCGCTCTCTGCCTTTATCGTCTCAGGAAAGTAGCTCTCTGCCTTTATCGTCCTGGGAAAGTAGCTCTCTGCCTTTATCGCAATGGGGAAGTAGCTCTATGCCTTTATCGTCCTGGGAAAGTCGCTCTCTCCCTTTATCGTCCTGGGAAAGTCGCTCTCTGCCTTTATCGTCCTGGGAAAGTAGCTCTCTGCCTTTATCGTCCTGGGAAAGTAGCTCTCTGCCTTTATTGTCTCAAGAAAGTAGCTCTCTGCCTTTATCGCAATGGGGAAGTAGCTCTCTGCCTTTATCGCAATGGGGAAGTAGCTCTATGCCTTTATCGTCCTGGGAAAGTAGCTCTCTGCCTTTATTGTTCTGGGAAAGTCGCTCTCTGCATTTATTGTCCTGGGAAAGTAGCTCTCTGCCTTTATTGTCCTGGGAAAGTAGTTCTCTGCCTTTATCGTCCTGGGAAAGTAGCTCTCTTCCTTTATCGTCCTGGGAAAGTAGCTCTCTGCCTTTATCGTCTCAGGGAAGTAGCTCTCTGCCTTTATCGTCCTGGGAAAGTAGCTCTCTGCCTTTATCGTCTCAGGGAAGTAGCTCTCTGCCTTTATCGTCCTGGGAAAGTAGCTCTCTGCCTTTATCGCAATGGGGAAGTAGCTCTATGCCTTTATTGTCCTGGGAAAGTAGCTCTCTGCCTTTATCGTCCTGGGAAACTAGCGCTCTGCCTTTATCGTCCTGAGAAAGTAGCTCTCTGCCTTTATTGTCCTGGGAAAGTAGCTCTCTGCCTTTATCGTCCTGGGAAAGTAGCTCTCTGCCTTTATCGTCCTGGGAAAGTAACTCTCTGCCTTTATCGTCCTGGGAAAGTTGCTCTCTGCCTTTATCGTCCTGGGAAAGTAACTCTCTACCTTTATCGTCTGAGGAAAGTAGCTCTCTGCCTCAATTGTCTCAGGAAAGTAGCTCTCTGGGTGAAACAGGCCTGATCCAGTCTGTACTTGCTTCTTAATGGTAACGTCAGAGATCTGATAGCATTTTACTGTGTGCTCCTCATTCCTTCTGTAACTGGTGATGCAACACTGACATTTCTGACATCACTGACCAATAAGGGATCTCCTCATCAACAATACAACACACACACACAGAGACACACACACACATGCGTCTCACCTGTCCCAGCTGGATGCATGCTGACAGCCACGATGAGGAAGCAAAGTTGCAGAAACCCTAACCCTTTTTATAGTGTGGAGTCATGTGGTGCACCTGACGCTCGAGAGGGAGAGGCTGCATTCAAATCAAAATCACCAGCTTCCTCCTTCTCTCCTCTCTCTCACAGACTCACCTGACGCTCGAGAGGGAGAGGCTGCATCCAAATCAAAATCACCAGCTTCCTCCTTCTCTCCTCTCTCTCACAGACTCACCTGACGCTCGAGAGGGAGAGGCTGCATCCAAATCAAAATCACCAGCTTCCTCCTTCTCTCCTCTCTCACACACACAGACTCACCTGGAGAAGAGACTGCATCCAAATACAAATCACCAGCTTTCTGTCTCTCTCCTCTCTCACACACACAGACTCACCTGGAGAAGAGACTGCATCCAAATACAAATCACCAGCTTCCTGTCTCTCTCCTCTCTCTCACAGACTCAACTGAAGAAGAGACTGCATCCAAATACAAATCACTAGCTTCATTCTTATCTCCTCTCTCTCACACACACACAGACTCAGAGAGGCTGCATCCAGAAACAAATCACTAGCTTCCTTCTTCTCTCCTCTCTCTCACACGGACTCACCTGACGCTCGGAGGGAGAGGCTGCATCCATATCCAAATCACCGGCTTCCTCCTTCTCTCCTCTCTCTCATGTGTTGGGCAGGACAGCTCCACGTTCAGTCATGTGGAATTTGGTTTCATTCTCTGATCCGTGTTTCTGAATTGAAACTTTGTATACATACAATGGAAGAATAAGAATATCCATCATACTATCCCTCTGCATTTGACCCATCCTTCAAAGCCACTGTGGTCACGAGGGTCACTGGAGGATGTTAAAGCCCGGACATTCGTCCCCCAAACCCGACTGCGCGTGACCAGACACTGACAAAACAGTGCCAGAGGCACTGGATGGCTTTGCTCCTGCTGTAGTACACAGTGTAATGAATGGGGTCCTATGGGGGGGGTGGGTGACTTTGTGATGGCAACTATTGGGTTGCCAACCCAATTGTTGCGTTCACCTTGTTGTTCGCTTTAAAACGACGTATCATTTGTATAATAGGTTACTATGGAAACCTATATTGTTTTTGCTCGAAGATTTAAAAAAAGAAATTCCTTGGTTTACTTCTTTCTTTCTTTCTTTTTTCTTCTGCACTTTGAGCCTTAATTTGACCCCTGAACATTGATGAAAAGTTGTGAAATTTTGCCCAAAATTCAGAACAGGTGAAACATTTATTTTTTAGGGACTTAAAAAATATCAGAATAGCGCCCCCTACAAAAGTCAGTTTACATTGCGCCTATGGGAGGGGGTCGGAGGTCAAGTTTGTCGTAGAGCCACGAAATTCGGTACACATGTTCCTTATTTTTATTTATGGCTCCGCCCCCTGACAAACAGGGAGCTCATTAATGTCAATGGGAAATGGAAAAATGAAAACTGGTCTTTTTCACACATGTAGGTTGGAAATCATCTCCTCCTCGGCCGTTTCACCGATTTGTCTCAAAATCGCTCCAGATGGTCTAAACACATGTACCATCAATTATTGAATATAGAATTTGGATCAGTTAAACGTTGTCCGAGCAGCGGAGCGGCAAAATGTGACATTTTTTGTTCTATTTTTGACAAAAGTAAATTTGCTCCCGTTTGCACAAAGCAAGCCGGATTTGCACAAATTTTAATCCATTGTTCAACTCCAGGGTCTAGGTCATTTGAAAGTGGAAATATTGAAATTGGCTCATTAGCGCCCCCTACAGACTATGTCAAAGTTTTACATGGGCCTAATAAAATTTAGTTTTTTCAAAATGTTTGAAATTTTGCACATAATTCTGTTTTGTCATCTGGATTCAAAAAGTCAATGACAACATATGTTTATTTTTTACCCTGTTGCCGTGGCGACGACCAACACTCCCATGTCTGTGTCTATGGGAAAATCGTTAAATCTCTGAAAAGTACACCTCGCTCAAACATCAAACCAGCCGCGGCCGTTTCACTAATTTGGCTGAAAATCGCTCCACATCATCTCAACACATGGACCATCAATAGTTGAATATAGAATTTGAATTAGTCAAACGGTCTGAGCGTGACAGACTCCCAAAGTGTGGTTATTTTCATAGAGAGGTGTGAAGTTCCCATGTTATCCAATGGAGACTGTGTGGACACACTCACAGATTGTATGTGCAAACAGGAGCACATTTACAAACTCTGATATTCACTAAACTTGACTAGGTCGTTCAACTCCTGGGCCTAGGTCACATGACAGTGTGAACAATGACATTGGCCCATTAGCGCCCCCTACAGGCTGAGTAAAGGTTTACATGGGGATACAGGTATTTAGGTTTTCTGTTGTTTGATCTCATATTTGACCCACTGAACAAACATGAAAACTCACCAAACTTTGCCACAAGTTTTTTTCAGGCATAAAGTGTATTATTTTGGTGTTCTTTGGTATAACACTAAAAAATTGAAATTGTAGGGGGCGCTATTGTACAACATTAAATGCCACCATTTGCACATACAAAGTCCGATTTGCACAAAATTATGATTTGATAGTCCAACTGATTTCTGCACCCCACCTAGACCCAAAATGGAATTAAAGGGGTAAGAAAATGGGATGATGTATGGCTGGATGAGTCCAACTCTTGGGTTTGAGTAACTGAAAGTGTAAATCAGGAAAATTGCCGCATCCAGTGCGCCCCCTACAGACTGATTCAAGTGTTACAGTAGGAGAATGAGGTTTACCTTATCAATAGATACACAATCACTGATCATAGGAATTCTAAATGCACAGTGTCGCTCCCGTCAAGGCGGTAGGAGAATGGCGCGTCAGCGCCACCTCGGTTGCGTTGTGCGGCGAGGGCCTTTTGACGCCGCTTGCGGCTTTAATTTCTTATTCTTACTCCTCAACATCCATATTTTTGACCCTTTGTTACTCTGAAGTACCACTGCTGGACTAAGCTGAGCTTTAGCAACGCACAGTTCTCCACCTGCTCACCAGGGGGCGCTGCTGTCTCACTTCCAAAATGTCAGTCTCTTTGGTTAATCCCAAACTGATTTTCTATGCATCAATTTCAAGTCAGTCTCACGACCAACCTCTGGTAATGTGAAACCAAAAGTGCATCAAACGAAAGATGAACATATAAATTAACAGTACAGGTTAATTATCAACAGCCACGGACGATGCGCCTGGAAACGGCTGCAAGTCCTGAGTGTCTCTAAAACAGTTGTTGTTTTGTGCTTAATAAATTTTTTTTGTATTGCTTTTTTCTGCCTGAGATGTTGCTGCAGTACAGTGTTCATGGTTTTACACTCGTCCGGACCAGAGCAGAGAGGATTCATGGTTTTACACTGGTCCGGACCAGAGCAGAGAGGATTCATGGTTTTACACTGGTCCAGACCAGAGCAGAGAGGATTCATGGTTTTACACCTGAATTTCTCCCACGGGGATCAATAAAGTATCTATCTATTAGTATATTATATCTCCTCTGGGTTTTTCCCCGGGTCAGCCATATTTACCACAGTGGGTCAATGTTGCAAATTTGCAACATCCCCAGAGCGCAGATTTGTGCTGGCGTGTCATTTTATTTTTAGATCGAGTTCTCGAGCAACAAGGAGAATTTGTTTTGGGTCCCGATTGTGACCAATCACAGCAGACCACTGGCCCCCACCGATTGTGACCAATCACAGCGGACCACTGGCCCCCACTTTCTTGAGAAAAGCCACAGGTCTGTGGTTAGCACAGACAGCTGAGGTAAACAAGCGGCTGAGGCTAACCTGAAGCTTCGTGTCTTAGTTACCGGTTACTGCTTACTCAGCGAAACAGCCAAAAGAAAGTCCTCGTCTCGTCCTCTCCGCGCTTCCCGGTTCTATCATTCTCTGGTCACGCCACGTGAACATTTTTGATCCATATTGTGAGATGCTAACTACGTAAACAACAGTGGGTGTGTGGTGCGATAGCTTCGTGGATGCGGGGAGGGGAAGAAAAAGAGCGAGGCCTGCAAGGCCGCTGCTTCAAAATCCCAAAGTCAGATAGTGCAGCTTTAATGGTAATGGTTGACCATGGCATGTTATACATAATCCAACAACCACTTTCAATTTTTTCTATTAACAAAACACATCATCACTAGAAATATATAAAACAATACGTTTTACTTTAGACTTGGTCCAGTTTTAGTTAAATCCAAATGTACTGTAACGATACAATGTCAAAATACTTTCATAACAGTTTAAGCAGTTTATTCTTTTGGCCCTGACCAATGAGTCTGACTGCGCCGCTGTAAGTGAACCCACTACAATAAAGACAGAATCTGAGGTAATGCACTCGCACATCGCTCCACTTGAACTGAAGAGGTGTCGGGGACCACAGGGACGACCACAGGGACCACAGAGACGACCACAGGGACCACAGGGACTCTGGGATCAGGCCGGCCCTTTGACTGTGAGCCTCCATCAGTCACAGAGGCCAGGACAGAGCAGAGCTGGAGGCTGCTCTCGTCGTCCTGTGACAGTGGATATAAAAGACTTTTCTTTTAGTGTCATTTGGAGTCAGTCTGAAACACCTGCTGCCTCAGAAACACCTGCTGCTCTTCATCAGGAGCTGATGTCACTCTGTCACTGCTGGACACTGAGGCCCCACTTTGGAAAGTTTTCAGAATGTACAAAATAGAACCACATGTGTCACCGTCACTTTGTCCCAGACCCTGATGCTGCCAACATCCATCCTTCTATTTTCTTTCACTTCATCCGTTGCCGGGTCGCGGGGGCAGCAGTCTAAGCAGAGACGCCCAGACTTCCCTATCCACACACACTTCCTCCAGCTCGTCCAAGGGGACCCCAAGGTGTTCCCAGGCCAGCTGAGAGACATAGTCCCTCCAGCATGTCCTGGGTCTTCCCCGGGGCCTCCTCCCGGTGGGACGTGCCTGGAACACCTCCCCAGGGAGGCGTCCAGGAGGCATCCGGTCGAGCACCATGGCCTCAGATTTGGAGGTGCTGATTCATCCCAGCCGCTTCACACTCGGCTGCAAACCGTCCCAGTGCATGTTGCAGTTCCTGGTTCGTTGGAGCCAACAGGACAACATTGTGCACAAACAGCAGAGATGAAATCCTGTGGTCCCCGAATAAGACCCCTTCCGGCCCCTGGCTGTGGTCTCTGAACCGGACCCCCTCCGGCCCCTGGCTGCGCCTAGAAATTCTGTCCATAAACACAGTGAACAGAACCAGTGACAAAGGGCAGCCCTGGCGGAGGCCAACATGCACCGGGAACAGGTCTGACTTATGCGGATGCGAACACAGCTCTGACTCCGGTCATACAGGGACCGGACGGCCCTCAGCAGAGGACCCCATACTCCCGGAGAACCCCCCAAAGGAGACCACGGGGAACACTGTCGAACGCCTTCTCCAAATCCACAAAGCACACGTGACTGAAGCAAACTCCCATGAACCCTCGAGTATCTGATGGAGAGTATAGAGCTGGTCCAGTGTTCTGCAGCCAGGACCAAAACCGCACTGCTCCTGGATCCGAGACTCGACATCGGTCAAAGCCTCCAGTACCTTAGAGTAGACCTCACCGGGACTGAGGAGTGTGATCCCACGATGATTGGAACTCCAGTTGCTGCAAACAGATGTTTACACACTATATATTTCTAGCACTGGAATATACAGGAGTCTATAAGTGCTTCTTTATTAGACTAAAGTTAGAGGAGCACAGGGACCGGCCTCCTGCTGGGACTCTGAGGAGCACAGGGACCGGCCTCCTGCTGGGACTCTGAGGAGCACAGGGACTGGCCTCCTGCTATATAGGGGTGGCACGGTGGCTGAGTGGTTAGCACTCTCGCCTCTCAACAAGAAGGTCCTGAGTTCCAATCCTGGTCGGACCAGGGCCTTTCTGAATGGAGTTTGCATGTTCTCCCCGTGTCTGCGTAGGTTTCCTCTATGCTCACTAGGTAAAATACTCCAGCTCCCGTCCTGACCAACCCGAGCATTAACATCTGGAGATGGGTTCCCGGGCGCTGCACTGCAGAGACTACTGCTCCTGACGTAAGCCTTAGTGGCATCAGGATGGGTCAAATGCAACCCATAACCCTAACCCTACGGGGACAATAAAATGCACATTTACTGGTGGAGCTGAAGTTGGCTGGATGACACTGAAGTGTGGGTAGAAGAGTAAAACCAGTCCTCACAGTCACATGGTTCCAGTGAATGTGGAGTTTCCTTGTTCACCACATTCCAAAAAACAGGTTCTGAAGACGCTTTGACGCCAGATTCCGAGCAGTAATTTCAATTTACTGTCAGTGCACTGCAAAAAGTGGTGAATAATGAGTCAAAAAATGTATCCGGGCACATTATGACTTAAAACAAGATTCTCCAAAAAAACAAAGCAAAATGATCTTGTTTTAAAAATGTCTCCTTTATAGTTTTAAGTCAACTTGTGCTCAGATTAAGATAAAAAAAACACTTGATTCAAACAATTCATGACCTCATATTTGATCTCTTTTTGCAGTGTATTCAGCTGTAACCAGTGTGTCCTTCATCACATGTTGCAGGTCCACCTCTTTCATGATGTGTCAGTCTGTTATTACAGATCCAGGGTCCGTCCCAGTGAAAGGATCACCACGGATTCTGTTTCCCGACAACAAGCAAACCTGTGTCTGATACAACAACACAATGAAGTGGTTCTTTTACACCGCACAAGTGTTGCTGATCGTGGCTCCCATCGGAGGTATCGTTGATCCCATCGGAGGTATCGTTGATCCCATCTGTCGTAAAATCGTTCCTATCATCTGTGGAAAAATTGTTACTTCCTTCGTTGCTCCCATCTGTCGTAAAATCGTTAATCCCATCTGTCGTAAAATTGATCGCATCAATTCATACATCTTGCAATACCATCCCAGTGACTTCAAAAACCCTGGTTGGTCGTGTCAGTACTCTACTGACTTTGTGTGTGGAACGGATGGCTGTAAAAATGCTAATAGGATCCACATTCAGAGATGCCTCGCGATGGCTCTGGGCAGACATTCAGAGGTAAGTACAGGTTTAAACTCTTGCTACATCTGTACTTAGTTATTTATGTCCCATGTCTAAAATGTGAATCCGTTTAATGTTCTTTATTTTCAGACTGACGCACATGCTGCAGGAAAAACAAGGTCTGATGCAAACAGAGATGAAAGAAGTGAAAAACGGCTAAATGTGTCTTAATCTGAAAACATTCTGACTGAGCCCTAAAACTGGATTCTCCAACGGGACAAAACAAAATGATCTTATTTTAAAAAATATACAGAAAAGTCTCCTTTGGAATGTGGAAATAAAGCAACAGTTCTTGAAATAAAACTAAATGTCTTTGTCCCGTTGGAGAATCTGGAGAGTCAGATTTGAGGAGTCAACTTCAAAGTGAACGACGGCGGCTGCTGCGGTTCAGAACCAAACTCAAACACATCCAAACTACATTAAATAAAAAAATAAAAAAATGTATACATTAAAAATTAAATACTAAAAATAAATTAAAGCCTAAATAAGTTTGTTTCTTGTTTTACATCATTATATTTTTTGCCACATGACATCTTTTCTTTTCATACTTTTTGCAGTGTGTATAAGACAACAAAACTATGAATAAGCCCATCTGCAGGGTTGCTCTGTGCACCTTTTTAATAAACTTTTAACAACTTTTTAGCGCGTTTTTACTGTTCAGTGTAGTGTTTTTTAATATATCTAAGTGTTTTATCTTATTAATTCAGCGGTTTGAGCAAATAGCGCTAAGACCCGACTGAAACCCACTAGTAGCACAGAGGCTAACACAAGCTAACAAGGACATGGAAAGTGACAATGAAATTGGCTCAAACATGCACAATATTAGTCGCCTCACCTTGGAGCTCCGTGAGAGCGACCGTGCCACCATTGCAGAACTACGAAAAGAAGTCCTTCGTCTCACCGCAGAGTTGAATGAGAAACAATCTATAGTGTCCAAACTTTTTGAAGTTGCTGGTGGGCAGCACTCACGGCTTATGTCACTGAGCGCTGCATATTGTGACACTGTCGTGTGGGAGAGATCCGTCAGCTCCGGACCCTCCTGTTCTACACCTAAGCGCCCGGTTCCGAATAACGAGCCCGCGGATTCCGAGGAGCCATCCTGCGCTGTGGCCCATGTCCTGAGTCTGGCAAACCGCTATGCAGCCCTCTCCACTGACATCCCGGGCCCCTCAGCAGAATCCCTGGACACTGCAGCGTACTCTACTGCTCGAGGATCCAAGTCCACTGCGAGGAAAACGCTCCTAAAGGAAGCAGTCCTCAGGCGAAAGAGCGGTCCACCAGCCATGTTGGCCTGTTCCCCTTCTTTGACCCCAGTGCAGCAGCCTCAGACTGGGGTAGCGAGCCATCATCACCACCGCTCACCTCCACCGGGTCAGCAGCATCGCCCAGAGCCAGCCCCTCTCACCGCTCCAGCGTCCCCGAGCACACAGCGTGGGTCGCCCGTAGCTGAGAGTCAGCACCCCCGCTCCTCCTCTCCATGTGTTCAGCGGCGCTCAGGCTCGGGTCCTGCTTCGGGTGACCCCGCTGGTTCCGTCCACCGAGCTCCTTCTCCGAGGCCGCATCCACGTCCACTCTTCGCCCCGACCACTCTGATTATTGGATATTCCATCGTGAGACACGTCCGCTTCTTTAACGCGGTCACTCGCTGTATTCCCGGAGCTACTGTACCAGACCTGCTCATCCGTCTCCCTCCTCTGCTTCAGTCCCTACCTGATACCGTTTTCAAGGTAGTCGTGCATGTGGGAATTAATGACATGAAACTTCAGCAGTCAGAAGTCACTAAGAAACATTTTATGGATCTGTTCCGCCTCCTTCAATCCTCCGGATTATCCGTTTTTATTTCTGGTCCAATCCCGACTGTAAACAGAGGTGACTGCCTCTACAGTCGTGTTGTGGCGCTGCATATGTGGCTTCAGGCTACATGCAGCTCTTTTAACTTTGTCTTTGTGAATAACTTTGCCCTTTTCTGGAAACGTTACGAAGCCTATCGTCCAGACGGATTACACCCAAACAGATACGGTAGCAGCCTGTTGATGGACTACATGCGTCATGTTGTTCAGCGTTCCCCGAGGGGGGCGTGACTGTTTACATCTGAGCCCCCTCGGACCCCACCGCACTCCCCCACCTCCTCCTCACCAGCACCGGGTGAGTACAACGGTGCAAACACTGCTCCCTGTCCGTCTGGCAGTGCATTACCAGTCCGAACACTGAACTGTGCTGACACCCTTCTGACTCTGGGAGCTAAACAACAACAACAAGGGTTTTCACATTTTAGGCCAATTGAGACTGTGTGTTCCTCGCACCAGCTCAAAAATGTTTTTAAATTCTAAAAAACTAAATCAAAACAGGACAGCAGTTAGACGGTCCAACTCTGCAAATCTAATTTCTGTTCCCTGTAGAAATCAATCAACCACATTAATTGACTCTGATGTTATTTTTAAACTTGCTATGCTTAATGTCAGATCTCTATGTAACAAATCATTTTTAATTAATAATTTTATCACTTCTTATGATCTTGATTTTATGCTTATGGCTGAAACATGGCTTGACCAAAATACAGGAAATGCAGTTCTATAGAAGTAACACCACCCAATTTTAAATTTGAATCCGAAATACGAGAAAACAAAAGGGGGGGAGGCATAGCTGCAGTTTTTAGAGAGCATTTTGTCTCCCATAGAATGCCCCTTGGAAATGTTTCATCGTTTGAGTATATTTCTTTTAAAATGGAACAAAAGCAATCTTCTACTCTTTTCATTGTCCTGTACAGGCCACCACAGTCATGTTGCGATTTTATTGACCATTTTACTGAATTACTTTCATTTGTGTGCACAGATTTTGATAGTTTTGTTATTACAGGTGATTTTAATGTACATGTTGATAATGTTGATGACAGAAATGCAAAGGAGCTGGCTTCTGTATTTGAGACCTTTGGTTTCATTCAGCACGTGAGTGGCCCCACTCACAGCAGAGGGCACACTCTTGACCTGCTAATTACAAAGGGGGTTAATGTATCAAATGTTAATGTAGTTGATGTTGCTTTGTCAGATCATTTCTGTGTATTTTTTTACATGTGTTTTGCTAGCAAACCACCAGCTGAATCTACGTGTGAACTGTTCATGGGAATGCTAAAATTTGAGAAAACTCCATGCTCTACTGTTGATGAATTGTATAACTCTGTCACCACCAGTGTTCTGACTGTTCTGGACGCCATTGCTCCTGTGACGGTTAAAATAGTTACCAGTAAGAAAAAGGCCCCATGGACTAAGGCAGACTCGGTCAGGGCACAGAAGCAAGAGTGCCGGAGGGCCGAACGGAAGTGGCGAAAGTCCAATTTCCAGGGCGATTATGAAATCTTTAAAGATGAGTTGGGTGAATTTAACCGGGTTCTACGTAGAACAAGAGAAATGTGTTTTTCTGACATTATCGGAGGTTGCAGTAACAATCTTCGTGTTATGTTTTCAACAGTTGGTAGATTAACGAATCCTCCTGTAAAGTTGCCCCTAGAATTTTCCTCTAAATCTAGGTGTAATGAGTTCGCACAGTTTTTCGATGACAAAGTACAAGGAATCAAAAACACTATCACCTCCACAGCACGTATAACAATGCAACAGCCAGATAAGCTTTTTGAGCTAACTCACTTTGCACCTGTGGATACTGAAACTGTCAAAAAGATAATCATGAGTCTGAGCTCCTCCACATGTAGCCTGGATATATTACCCTCTAAATTTCTGAAGTCCGTCCTGAGCAGTTTGTTACCTTCACTGACACAAATATTAAACATGTCTCTGTCGTCAAGAACATTTCCTATGGCCCTAAAAACAGCAGTCATAAGACCTCTCCTAAAAAAGAACAGTCTGGATCCTGTGGGACGTCAAAATTATCGCCCCATATCGAATCTGCCATTCATTGGAAAAATTCTTGAAAAAGTGGCCTCCCAACAACTTACTGAATTTTTAACAATGAATAATTCTTTTGATATGTTCCAGTCTGGGTTTAGACCCCACCACAGCACTGAGACCGCTCTAGTGAAGGTAACAAACAACATTTGACTTCACACTGATGCAGGTAAAGTCACAGTTTTGGTCATGTTAGATTTTCAAATCAATCAATCAATCTTTATTTATAGGGCGCTTTTCCTGCACAGGGCAACACAAAGCGCCTCACAGTCCACACCACACAATGCACAAATCATCACCATTAAAATACAATTAAAAACACATATGTAATTAAAAAGCATTAAAATCACATAAGTAATTTAAAAACATAAGAATCACACAAGTAATTAAAAACAATAAAATAGTTAAAAACACAAAAAGTTACAACAATAAATAACAAGGTGTGTTAAAAAGATAAAATTCTTTAGTTGTATGCACAGGAAAAAAGAATAGTCTTTAACATGGATTTGAACATTGACAGAGAGGCAGCCAGTCTCACATCCTCAGGAAGACTGTTCCAGACTTTAGCTGCATAAATCTGAAAAGCAGCCTCCCCCTGTCTAGTCCTGACTCTGGGCACTAACAGGAGTCCCGTCCCTGCGCTCCTCAGAGTCCGGGCTGGTTCATATGGGACTAGCATATCATGGATGTACTTTGGTGCGAGGCCATGGAGAGACTTGTACACCAGGAGAGCTGCTTTAAAGTCTATCCTCTGGGCCACGGGAAGCCAGTGCAGAGACCTGAGGACCGGACTAATGTGGTCGTACTTCCTGGTTCTAGTCAGGACTCGGGCTGCAGCATTTTGAATATACTGCAGCTGTTTTACTGCATGTTTGGAGATACCTGTGAGCAGGCCATTGCAGTAATCTAGCCTACTGGAAACAAAAGAATGGATAAGAATCTCCAAGTCTGCTTTGGACACAATATTTTTAATTTTGGCAATATTTTTCAGATGATAAAAGCCGCGTTCGACACTGTCGACCATGAGATCCTCATGCAGAGACTGGAGGACTGGATTGGTGTCACTGGCACAGCCCTAAACTGGTTTAGGTCTTACCTGGAAGATAGGAAGTACTTTGTGGAGATTGGAGACTGCGTCTCAGATCATGTGGCCCTGACCTGTGGAGTACCACAGGGGTCAATCCTGGGACCTCTCCTATTTAATCTCTACATGCTGCCGTTAGGTCAGTTAATACAAAGAAACAAAGTTTCCTCCCACAATTAC